TTTAAAGATAATTGTAGAAATTAATATACATATAAAAATTTTCTTACTCGGTCATTTCGTTTGGCTTGTATTGTACTGACGGGAAAACATCAGACAGTAAAGAGAATAGCAGTGATATATCCTCTGATATCAACTTTGGAAGTAATGTTTCACACACTGATTGTATCAAAATCTGTTGTTCAGACACTTCACTTGAAATATTGCTTACATTCAGCTGAAAAATACAACTTAACAATATAACTGAATACTTTGTGTACTGTATAAAGCGGCGAACAAATTTGGGATGACTCTAAACATTAGTATACTTACATTACCACGATTTTCGATTGCATGTTGTATTTCATCTCGTTTGATGTTTCCAGCACTCACAAGAACGTATTTCAGAGCACGAAGACCAAAATCATAGTGACACTGATCGGATAACTGCTCCTTACAGAGGCTATAAGTTTTTGCATTTAAAAATATTGTGCTTTTAATGCATGAAGAAAGTATAAGTCAATGATTTACATGAAGAGGGGCACAATTTTGCTCGCAAGCTTTTCCGCTGTTCTGAAGCCTTGCGAGAAAAGCATCACTTGTGCAATAAGCTGTCGGTCTGGTTGCGTCATAGCTAATGAGCGGAAAAGCTGCAAAAAAGAGAATTTGAAGCGAGAACTTTCTACACCTGAAATCTTATAACACAAACAGATGTACGGACATAAAAATCTCCCTTAAACAAGAAAACTAGAATACTTTTGTGTGATAATAATAATTATGAATTGAATTTAGACGAATCAATGAATTCGACACACCTGTTTCAAATTATCTGGTAAATTAGAACGACCAGAGTAGCCTGGATTCATGGTTATAAAAATTGCCATATTTGAATTTACTGACAATGTCTTTCCAACCAAGTCAACCTGAATAATAAGAATATTTGAATTTCAGAGCTGACGAGGTATCAGAAAGAAAGCAGAAAAATTAACAATGAATTTACTTCCATTTCTCCACCAGCCCGGACGGCTTCCTGTATCGTCTGGATCTGTTGACTAACAGCAGATAACATTCGTTCTTCAAGACGATTAAACTCATCAAAACATCCCCATGCACCCACTTGACACAAACCGACCAAAATACGTCCCATTGCCTAAAATACGAAGCAGTGATTTTTTTCATCTAATAAGCATTTGCAGTGCATTTTGAAAAAGAATAGAATTACCTGAATCGAACGGCCTAAATTCTGACTTTGATCAGAAAAACTTTCTCCCATAGAAAATCAACACTTAATTACTTCAAGTAGTAAAAGAGAGTTACAAAGTTAGAGGAACCTGAAAATCAAACGTTTCGTCACAATTGAAGACCAGAACAAAACGACCCATTTTATGACCAAGCGCTTTAACACTTTCAGTTTTACCTGTACCTGCAGGGCCAAAAGGACTACCACCCAGCCTGTGAAATAATACATGGTAAACAAACTTTGTGTATGTCAGATTTCCGATAAAATCATGAAAATTATCAGGTCGAAAGCATTTAAAAAACACGACGACAGATATTTTGAGCTAAATTATTACACTGATTTAAAAATTAACAAAGAAAAGAAATCTCATCATAGTACCTCGCATTCAACGCCTGAGTCATCGTCAAATAACAGCGATCGGTTAGAGGAGTTTGAACAAGTTTTTCTTGCAAACCCAAATATTCAAAACCATAAAAAAATTGAGCATTAGCCATTTTTACGACACAACATGAACGCGGATCCAGTTTTCGAGAATCGAAATAAAAACGCATACACCTACACCAATGAAAACTTGCAGCTGAGGTAACTCCATTTTGGATTAAACAGCGACAAATATCTCTTTTGTGCACTAATTCAGTAATCTGAAATGCAGAAAAATGACAAGTTTAAGTAAGCAGACTTCAGTCAAAAATTTTATACGGTGATGATAGACCATCATCCACTGATGCCGAAATAACTTGCCAATGCTTCAATTTTTTTCCGCCGGATAGCAGGCTGGTCGCTTAAAACACTGTCTGCTAATAAAGATAACGTCTTATCAACAGCATCTTGTACAACTTCGACAGTTTTACCTTCTGCAAATTGTTTTTCGATGCTAGAACACCACCAAATATTTGCTGTTAGCTCAATTACTTGTGCCTAAAAGTTTCATTTATATCAACTATCGCAATATAAGCAAATGCTGTTTCGTTTAAGAGAGAGATAATACGGTTGATGAGGATGCCGCTGAATAAATTGTGACATTTTTAAAAACTTT